TTCTGCAAGCTGGTAAGAGTCTAAAATTGTATGCTCAACGAATCTTCAGTTTTTAAATTTTTGGCTCAAAATGCGCTTATTTTCAAAACTACATGCCAATCATTGAATGTTGTTTCAAATATTCTTGATAACTGTTATTTTGTTCGTGAAACTATTGTTTTAAAATAAGAAAAGCTCATTTTGCTTTGCGTTCTTGTATTCTATAAAGGAGCTTTCTGAAGCACTGGAAAGAAGATTGTTGCAGCAAGAATGTGAAAGTTGGAAAGGAAGCATTGAGAGTTGCATAACAAACCGTTTATTCAATCTCTGCAGCAAACCTTACCTTGAAGCCATGGCTGCAGATATTGATGGCTAGCTATTTGATTTAAAATCAAGCAAAACTTAGTTTGAATTAAAATTAAATTTTGCTTTGAGACCCTCTTTTCTTGATATCATATTTGTGAGCAAAGCTGTTTAGACTCCTTTAGAAACATAACAGAAGTGACTGTTTCTAAATCTAATTATGATTGATATCTTTATCCAAATCTTTAATTTAGTACCATACTATAGAATAGACCCTAATGTTATTCCTTTTCATTTGTCACCTTTAAAGGAATAGACTGAAATTGGATATTAGGAAGAAACAAGCTGTTCTTGTTTTAAGGCTACGCAAATCAAGATATCTTTACAAACTCATTAAAGGGCTACCTGCCGTCAGTGGTGTCGTGGCTTCTGTAAAGTTGAATTAAGTTTCTTGGTTCATGAGGTGCTGGATGTTTTTTATGGGTCTTTCCCTATGAGATGGCATTTAAGATGAATTATTTATCCTCAAAGTTGCAGAAAATTGCAAAAGCCTAGAATTTTGGAAAACTTTTCTTAGATCTAATGAAGAGGAATAGAACAATTGATAAATCTAAAATGTCTTTTCATTAATAGCTTAATTCTCAATAGTATCCACATTTTTCCCAAGATTGAAGACACCGTGAATGAGTCAGTGACTATCTTTTAATAAACAGATCACAGCAGATCACGCTCAACGTTATTAGCATCAAATGGAAAAGGTTGACCCATACACAATTGAAACCAGCTTTTGCTCTAAGAAGCATTGAGAATGAATTGTGTCGAATATTTCAAAATAAAGCTCGCTTTCAATTTGTCGATTCAAATTAGTTTCCAAATGGCTTAAGAAACTGTATAGGTTTTCTCGAGCTATATTTCAAAATCAGCTACATTTAGACCGTTAACATTCATTTATCTGTTAACATTTTCATTTTCAAATGCTATTGTATTGGGAACTGTTTTTTATCAATCGGCAACTGTCAAATAAATATAGTAGAATTGCTCTTTGTCACTTTAAGAGTTGACAGTACCGCTGCATCAGTTGCAAAGTGCCGCTGCATCACTGCAAATTTCACCAGGCATCTTTTTCTTTCATTGATTCCTCTTCAAAATTCCTTTCTAGGAAACATTTTCTGATTCACGGGCTGCACATGGTCGAATAAACATAGTCGAGTATCCAGATGAGTTAGTATGAGGGCTCTCTTTCGGGATAACAGTTATCTTATATTTCCCCTCCTGGCAGATGTACCGTCATTAGACTGCTTTACACTATCAGCTACGTGGATTAAACTCTTGCGTAAAGCACGTTTCGGAGTCGTGAGCCTTGGCTATTTTAGCACAGCTAAAGAATTCCATTTGTTTCCCTTCTGCAAGAAATATGCATCCGATGGCCATTTAATAGCAAACCTTGCTTTGCAAAGATATGGCTTTTTAAAAATACCCTTTTATCACTGCTCTGTTCTTTTTAACTGTCTTCGTCCTCACAGATTTAATATATTGCAAGCTCGGTTTGGAAGATGTTGTCTTAAGCATGTTTACACACAAGTATTGACAAAAATTACAGTGGAATGAAAGCGCCATTGGGAGTTCTTTCCTTAAATTCTCATGTGCAACTTTCCAGTTTAAAGGTTCATTGTCCATGAGGATCTTTTCGTCTATATCCTTTGCCGAAAAACATGCGGTAATGGCAATGTTTCCTTAATGAACCAATACAACAAGGCTTAGGCTTTGGGAAAGTCTTGAAGCTTTTGGCCATATATGCTGGTTTTGTCTAATTTACATTACTCAAAACAAATTTTTTCTTTAGGAGTTCGTCGAAAGTTCAAATTTTTGGTTGAATCTGTTCTGGCTTTGCAAAAGCTCTCATAGTAAACATCAACCCATAGCAGTTCAATGAGCAAAGAAATAAGGACACACGGGTATAAACTTGTTTCTTGGCTTCACTCAGATTACAAAATTTCACACTGAATCCTTTAAGGAAATTGCTTGCTCTCCTGTGTTCGATAATAGTCCTTTCATCAGCAAAGATATTTTTCAACTTTGCTTTAAAATATTCTGCTAAGAGTAAGTATTGATGTAGTAATTTGGATTCTTGGTTAATAGCCTGGTATAAACTCGATTACAGTTGACAGTATAGAGTTAGAGCTTAAAAAATGATTTCTACTACTATTAAATATTTTGTTAGGTATTATCAACATAAGGCTTTAAAGAAAATTTGAATTGAAACCTATCGCTTGAATTTATAGCAGAAAAACAAATAAGAACTGGGTTTTCCTCTCTAAATGTTTAGCATTGAAGCTAAAAATGATATTCAGGAAATATCTTTTGTCTAAAATGCTATTTTCTTTTCTTAAAATAATTTTGTGTCATACAGTTATTTATTTTATGGGGACTTTTCAAAATCTATATAAATTTAATTGCTAAACCTTTGAATAAAGCTAACGTACAAGTTGACTCTTTGATTTTAGGTTGGAGAAAATCGAAGATTGTAAATGATATTTTGATAAAATAAACAGCTTTCGTTGTAAGACATTTCAAGCTCGTTTTTGCACTATTTTGAAAGATATTGAGAATCTTTATAATTTGAATCTTTGGTTTTTTTCTTTTCCAAATGTGCTTTAAATACTTATGATCAAATTAAGTTTAATGTCAAGCTTCAGCATGCTTTCATTTTAAGTTGTTTGCCTTGCTCGATGCAATTTGACTTTTAATATTGATGACTATTTTTCTAAACAGCTTCCTAAGGATAGCTGCCTCCAAATCTTAGTTTATAGTGTCTAATTATTTGATGGCAATCAACATTTTCAAGCTGCAATCTCTTTTCATCTACATTTCTTTTGGTTTGATGAAAAAGTTACCTTCTATGCAGGTGATAAATTGTGAAGGGCAATTAGCTTAAAACTAAGTTGCTTGAGCTCTTAGATGGTATCTATTGTTTCTAAATTAACAAGTTTTCAGCTTCTAACAACGTAGGCTCTAACAAAAAGTATTGTATGTTATAGACAAGCATCACATTTAAATATTTTTTTGCCTCAATTATAAGAAAACAAGACAAAATTCTATTCACATATGCAATTGAATTTCTTACCAAATTTTCTCAGGACATATTTGTCATCACAAAATGTTTTTATCTGCAAATGAATCGTGCCGAGACAACATGTAAATAAAGCTAAGATGATTATAGCAGAGCATAGACCCCTTTATTTGGGTTAGTCATTAATGAATCGGGGAAGAGAAGAGAAGTAAGCTATTCTTGCTTTTTACCTTGGCAAACGATATCATAAAATATTAGTTCATTGCATTATCACCTCTAATTATCACCTATTGCTTCACATTATTAAAAAAGCTTGATTTAATGAAATTTAATCACGTTTAATATGCGACAGGGTACGTCGTTTAGGTGCCCCTTGGGCTTTTGTTTCGGACACAGATTGCACGATTGTGGAGTTTGTGTTTATTGTAGCAGTGCTCGAGTAAGCTTCACTTTTATACGGGTAAGTCTTTTATACGGCTAAAGCAACAAGCGTGCAAGTGGGCATTGGCCTTGGGTATATAAACTTTGTCTTGGTATAGTTTTATTCTCACACGCCACAAGATAACCTGAAGTTAGACGTAGAGAGGAAAGGTTTTCCTTTGCAACCCTGCCCACCCTACCCATATCTAGGTATTTTAGGTGTTTGTAGGCATGTTAAATTCATCTTTCTTTTCTTCGTGCATTAGTTAATGGCAAAATGGCTTGCAATTTTTGCATGAACAAGGTGGTGCTAGTCGGCGGAAGAAGGCCATTGTTCTTCTTCTGAACCCCCTCAAAAACGGTTGGGTCTTTATTATGGCCGTCTTTGCGATTGGCGCACCGACAGCCCAAAAATAAATGGTCCAAATGATGAGAGAACGTCACCTTCAGTACTATGATTGATGTTTGGTAAAATATTCTGAGGACCATCTTACTCTTATTTGCTAACGGTTTTTGTTTGGTAACCTGGAACAAATATTAACCTCTAAAAATTACTATCTCGCCAAGAAAGTTGATAATAATCAAGATGATCACTTTTGGCTTTATGCCTCTTAAGCAATATCGACTTTCGTTGCCAAAATGTGGCGGTATTGGTCTGTATATTCATCATTTTCGTTTCAAACGCTGCAAAACAAACTCATGATGAATATTGAAAAAACAATGGCGCAAATTAAAGCTTTTAACATGTCCTTAACCACAGAAGGAAAACTGCGTTCCGAAAAGCTGTTGCTGTGACGGTAGCCTTTGCAGACATCTTTCATATGCTGACCGTAGACATTCAAACCTTTGTGTGTTGTTTGATGTTATATAGTACCATATAATATAGATCAACTAATTAGTAGAGCATCTACAAGAATAAGGGCTGTTTGGTTCTTAAACGCTTATTTATAAATGCTAGCCACTTACTTGATCTTAAAGTCGGTATCATTTTTCGGTTTCACAATTTTACTTAATTACACCTTCTTACCATTCCTTTTTGGCTGCTGTTATTTAATGTTTTTTCATAGAGAGTTTTAAGCTTAGGCTCCATTTACACGAGCCCGGGCAAGATTTAAACTTTTAAGGGTTAAACTTTTATGGCGGGTTGTAGCCAATCCTTGCTCGTGTAAACGAGGCCTTAATCTATGAAGCAGTTATGCAAATAGCAATTCGAACAGAAATCAGTTGGAATGCGCAAACATACAAATGAATGATCAAGCACTGTCTTAGTTATATTTGTCACCTCCCAATGACTACAGTCTTTGAAACAAGAACCCAAACACTGATACCAGAAGGAGCCTGGCATTGAATCGAGAAACAGCTGCTGACCTGTTTAAAAGGCAATCCTAACTACTTTAGATTTGTCTTTGCATTTGCAATTCTAATCAGGATAAGGAGCCAGCATATTCAAAAGGAGCTTCTAAACCAGTAACAAGTAAGCTATTTACTGTAAATCACCTTTTTTAAATATAGCCTTTAAACATTATGTGTTTCAAGTCCTTTGCAGTATCGTGCTTTAAGCATTGCTTGCGGCAAGTAAGGTTATAAAATTGCAGTTCTTGTTAGGCTATGAATCATGTTTTTTCTAAGAGCAAAAATGTAAATATCAATCTTAAATGCAAAATTCTCTTTTTTGAAACCATCCTTCAAGAATTCGCGAGATCTAAATGCATGATTTTTATGCATAAATTAAATTTTACGATTTACAATGTAGTCCCCAGAATTTAAAACTCATTTTGCAAGTTCATTTTGCAAAGATTTTATTTAAAAAATGTGTTCCTATTTGTTTTGCAGAAATGTTCAGAATACAAAAATCTTTGTTGGTACAATTGACAGTACTTTTCCAAATCGCTGTTAGTGACATGTCTCTGGACAATCAACGCTCATCGACTTTTGAAATGATTCATAACCCTGGAGAAGAAATGACGGAGCTGGTCCAGAAACCATTTCACCTTTGCAGTATAGATGCCAAGTGCAATTTTGTTGTGAAGGACATCATAAAAAACACGTTCTATATTTGTAAGAATGAAAGTGAAGTTCCGCAAAACAAGACAAATTTGATAATCTGGAAGAGAAAAAGTATGACAAATCTACTTATAGTGTTTTTTAAAATAACACTCAAGCCTGATCTTTTCGCAAGCCTTGCCAGATAAGCCGAGATTTTTCCTAAGCAGCAATCAATTTGATAAGCTTTTCTGCCAAGTTGCATTACTCTGTTACAGATATTTGTTTGCTAAAATAGGCGTTAGAATACATTAGATTAATTATACAATATCAAAACAACTTGTACATCAACGCAACGTCGATTTATGGACATCGCTTGAAAGTTGCTACTATATTTAAATACCATTTTTCATTATAGGGAGATATTCCTGTTTTGATTGGCGATATGATTCTGCAATGGTCAATGGGATATACAGAATATCAGATGATGACGGAGTTGAATTCAACGTTTACTGCGATTTCACATCAGAACCAAACTCAGTATGGAATCTGATCGAATCTTTTTCTTTGGGAAAAAACGAATTGTTCAAAGACAAGCCATTCAACATTGATTTTCCGTACATGGAAGACTTTCCAAACAGGGACAATTACAGGTTAAGTCTTCTTACTGTTGTATGTTTTAAATTTTTATGAAACTGTTGCGCAAGGAAACACGTTTTGTACATTCTAGACGAAGACGAAGGGGAGGCGCTAAAGGGTTTTTCCAAACGTTGAAAGCCATAGGTAAACGTGATATGATTGTATCTTTTTTAGTACTTTTACTTCAATTTAGTGTAAATATGAAAAGTGAATGTCAATTCTGAGATTGGCATGTATGTATGCAGGCAAGTAAAAGCAGAACTTTCTGTTTAGTTACCAACAATGATTCGACTTCATATGAAACAACAGCGGAAGCAGTAGACAAGAAAAAGCAGAATCATAAAATAATGAGCATTTTGGTTTGGAAATAGAAAATTTGATATACTAAATTAGAGGGCCATCAGATCAATACAATCCTACATTCCAAACTTTGGTACGTTTATGCAAAACTTTGATACAAAAAATGCTGACCATCGACCCTGGTATTATAAACCTTGCAAGATCAATGTAAAATCAAGTTTTGCATTTAGCCAATCTGTTAACAAATATAGTTTTTATAAAGTTAGGTTTTTTACTGTCATTAAAACCTTTAATGCATGAAAGGAATCTCTAAAGTTAAAAACATACTGAAATAAAAAACTTTAAGAAAAAGTAACTTTCGAAGTAGTATTTTATAGGCGCCGAGTCACTCTTATCAGGAGACTTCATTTTCTACTTTCCTAACATTTTGGAGGCCTTTCCCCCGGGTAAAATTATCATTTATTTACCAAAATTGCACTTTTGCAACTTATGAAGCATACAGCCAAACGTTCAAATTGTCTTGTCAAGAAAAAATATTTTAAAAATCCTAGCATTCACACTAGTAATACTAAAATTGATAAAAACAACAATTCGATCCGATGATAATATGGAAACTTTTGCCCTTATAAATATCATAGATATTTTGGGCAATGAACTATATTTGTATGTTTCAGGTTTTTCAAATCTCTCGTATGAAAAGGTTTCTTATGGCAGACACAGCATGTTATATGAAATAGAATCGATTCTCTCTCTGGCTACAGGCACAACAGAAAGGGGCTAATACAACCAAAATTTTGACCTCATCTTGAATATGGCCTTTAGAAATTACAAGGATCTCAACTTGAGATTAGCACTGCATTTTATGCATAAAATTGATATTAAAACAAGGCATTCTGGTTAGGGCTAGGTTTGAAAGTAGGGGGCAAAAGAACATGAAAGTTAGGAGAAAACGAGCTTTTAAGGTCATGTCGAGCAGTGATGTGTTTTGATCTAGCTCTAGAAGTAAAGAATATGTGGTTAACTGTGACTTTTCCAATTTTGTGTACTTGATCGAGCGCAACATCTGTCGTGCAAGTTTGTACCTAGCAGATGCAAGCATTATTGGCTTATCTTTAATAATTACGTAACCTTCAAAGGATCTTAATTTAGGTCTTTCAGTGCCCTTAGCTCTAAAGAGTCTAATAGTGAGTGATAAACAAACCCAGTTCACATTCAAATCTTAATACTAATAAATGGGAAGTAAAACGATCTACCAAAGAGTATGTGGTTTTATATACTATCGTTTTAACGTTTTTCAAAGGAACTTTTGCAATTGTTTTATACAATGATCAAGGAACTATTCATAGCTAACCCAACATGTGTACAAGACTTGAAAAAGCAGCTGTTATCTATATTTATGGCTTTTTCCTGGTACCAAGGCCCTATTGGACCCTAACCTTAATTTCATACACTTTTCTTTCTCCTAAGAGATCTGAACAGTGGGTTTGCACCTGCAGATTTCTGCTCACTGTAGCGAGAGGGAACAGCGTTATCTAATGGATTCGTGTGATCTATTATTTCAGTGACTTCCAATTCTAGTTTTGCTCTAGGTCCAACGAACGCAATGACGATCAAACAATCAATACATATCTTTCCAAATATTTTTTAGACTCAGCAAGACAAGGATCGAGAAAATCAAGTCAAGATCAACTCACTGGAGAGCCACATGCAGCTTCGATGTTTTTGGTGTTGATTATCAAGATTACATCAGATTCAAACTTTCTGCATTTGATCCACTTTGCTGTTACATAAATGCATCACCTAAGCTTGTAGAGCTTGTAAACGTCAGAGGGTACAGCGCTACGGAGCAATTAGTTGATTTTTGGCAACGTGAGGGAGAACATCTTCACCTTAATTCGAACTTGGGTGTTCACTTTCAGCAAGCAAGGAACGGATCTATATATAGCGAAGATAATTTTGGACTCTATTTATTCAGAAACGAAGCATTTAGGTGCACTGCCAATAGCAGCAGCACCACTCAACATTGGATTGGAATAAAATACCCATGACGCTTTCTCTTGTTTTGTGATACTATGATTCAATCAGAATATTTATGTTATAAGATTTAATACTGCAAAGTTTCAAAATGGCTCAGAAAGGTGTAGGGTGTCATATTAAAGCATTTTTTACAAAATAAAGAAACCTCTAAGAAACGTCTTGCACTTGAAACATTAATTATAGAATTTATAGAGAGAGTGCTATTCCTAAGCTTACTTTGTAATAATAAATGAATCATTGACAAAAGGCTAGAACCTTCTGATATGATATAGAATTTCAACCCCTTTATTTCCAGTAAGTAATGGAAGGAGTTAAAAGAATCTCAAGAATGTGTGCTTTATGAGTTATACAGTCAGATGCAAATTTATATATTCTTTTATCAATTAAGAAAAAATTTTAATGATTAGGAATAACATAGATTGGAATTTCGGAGTAAAATATAAGCGATGTGATCATCCAATTATTCTCTCTCGTAAAGGATAGATAAATTCAGAGTTCCCAATCTCATTTTTGCCCCCCCCCTCCCCCCTTAAGAAACTTTCCCTATTCTTTCAAAAGCGATTGGAAGTAAAAAGTATTAATGTTGGAAATAGAAGTTGAAATCGATGACTGATCTCTGATGCCGTTTTCTGCTTTTCAGCTTCTCAAAATATTAAATGTATAAAAAGGTGAAACTTCTCTATTTTTTGCCTTGCATAAAATAATTATTTTCATCAATGAGCAAACTTATGGTTTTTATGCTTATTCACCATTTTTTCACGAAAATGAACAAAAAGCTTTTGCAAAATTTTATCCTTTCAGGGGCCTTTAAGACGAAAATTATTGGCATATTATCGTAGCATAGAAACTTTACGTAACATTATTTTAAATTTTTTAGCAGTATGCGGATTTAAAAGGTCTTTGAATAAGCAAACAATTTACTGGATACCTAAAGAGTTTCCTTTTGACTCTCCTCAGAGTACGCTAATTTTTTTATTAGAAACAGTTTGTAAGAAACGGTAGGCTCAATTTTTCGAAAGTTGAGAAACAACCCTGCCCAAATTTAAAAAAAGCTAAGAAACTTTAATAATTTGCAGTTTTAATTTTCCGAACTCTTGGCATGCAGTTTGCATTCATTCTCAGCAAATTGCACATACAAGAAGTTTCCATTTAAATATTTGTCTCGACTTGACATTGATGAAGTTCAATGAGCCATACTGTTTACAGACCTCAACAGAGTTAGTCATTCTAAGAAAAAACAATTCCTTGATCACTTTGTTAGTTTATCTCTGAATGTGAGTGAACTATTTCATTTAACTTGGAAACACTCACCCATTTAACTTGCATCAAAAAATTCATTACCTAAGAAATTTAAGAAACATGTAAGAAACTTTTGATAGCATGGAAAATATATACCCAGTTTTGGAATGAAATAGTTTTTAATGAGCAAGAGTGTTGAATATTATAGCCAAGCATCACATATTGATCAACACAAAATCTTTACATCTGTAAATGAATGGTACCGTGACAAACTTTAAAGAAAGCTAAGATAATTATAGCAGGGAAAATAATTTTTTATTTGAAGTGCGATCATTCGTGAAACAGGGAAGAGAAGGAAAATAAGCTATTCTTGCTTTTTATTTTGGCAAATAATATCATAAAATATTAATTCATTGCATTTTCATCTATTGCAAGATTATGTCACAGAATAAAAACCTCTAAAAATTATTATCTTGCTAAGAAAATTGGTGATAATGACGATGATTGCTTTTGGCTTTATGATATTTAAGCAATATCACCTGCCGCTGCCAAATTGTGGCGGAATTGGTCTGCTATTTACATAATTTTTTTTTCAAATGCTGTGAAACAAACATACGATAAATATTATTGACAATTGACAAGTATATTTATTTTCAATAATTCAAGAAAATTTGTATTACATCAAGATAACGAATATTTGTACGATTCTTATCTAAATGATTGTTAGAATTATAAACAGACTTCTTAAACAGTTGTAGAAATCAATGTTTTGAAGACGTAGATGGATTGCAAGCAGAGCTTAATGACGCCCGAATAACAGGTAGAAGACTCAAGTATGTTCTCAATGAGTTAAAAAGTAAAAAAAGCAATTCTTAATATTGATTAATGAATAATGATATTGATTAAAGAATAATGATAGGCTCTTTGTTGCAGAGTTTTCTATGTCGTGTTCACAAAGCTGCATATGGTTTGAGATCTAGAAGCGTTATGGTATTCACATCAAAGTTTCAAATTCATCCCTCTTGTTGTGTTTGGTTTGAGCACAAATTTTCTACCTTTTTTTATAATCACTGACTTTTAAAATTTGCTTTTGACAAGATCCTGGAAAGCAAGGTAGCTTTTCTCTCAAATACAATAGTGTAAGATGTTTAGATCAAGCTTGTATTCAAAGAAAATACGAGACTTGGTACAATTTCTCTCTCTTGCCTTCGGGGAAACCAATGGCACGGGTTAAAGCTATTGAAATATCTTTACGATAGGAAAGCTGCGCTCCGCGAAACCGATGCTATGATTGTAATTCTCTATGTTCTCTATGTCGTGCAGGCAGGGCTTTTGCAGCCGCAAACAGTAACACTGGTCAACGTTCCTATGTTTTGAAATGCTCGCGATGCTCAAGACATTTCTGTCAGGAGATTTGCTTCCGTTCCAATGTTTCACTTTGAATTGAAGAGGGATCCGCCCGTGAAAATAGTTATGCAAATTGCAATTCATAGAGAAATCAGTTTGAATGCGCAAACATGCAAATAAATTATTAACACTGTATTAGTTATATTTGTCATCTCAGTATGACTACAGTCTTTGAAACAAGAAACATTGATATCAGAAGGAGCCTGGCATTGAATGGAGAAACATCTGCGGACCTGTTAAAATAGCGATCTACACCATTTTAGATTTGTCTTTGTATTCGCTATTCTAATCAGTATGAGGATCCAGCATATTCCAAAGGAGCTTCTGGTCCAGTGACAAGTAAGCTATTTACTGTAAATCACATTTTTTAAACACAGCCTTAATAATTTATGTGTTTCAATTCTCTTGCAATATAATGCTTCAAGCATTGTACGAAAGTAATGTTTCTAAATTGCAGTTCATATTAGATTGTCTTTCTTCGTGTTTTTCTTCAGAGTAGAGAAGATGTAATTATCAATCATAAACGCGAATGAATCATATACAAAAAGTGTGATTCAATATTTCAACATTTTTAGAATCAAAAACAAGAACATATCTAAACTTTTACACATCCTTGGTCGAATCATAAATCAAGTCTCAGTCCAACAATATTCAAAGGACATTTCATATCAACTTGCATAGCTTAGATTAAAATTTCCCTCCAGATGATATTCGACAATACTGAAGCAAATGTTGCAGGCCGATTATAAATTTTAGGTTGAAAAACTGAATTTTCCACTGATGAGTCTTCTTATAAACGTGGAAAGCAAAATACAGCGTCAATTCTTTTCAAAATCTAATTTTGCTAAATGTTTTCAGGATCATCAAGAATATAATGGCTCACCAAAGAACATGACAATCATAAAAAAGTTTTCACAGCACAGGGTGGAAACATTATGAAAGCAAACAATCAAGTCTTAAGATCGGCGAATTCCACTAAATATTTACTCTATCACTAATCAAATCCCCAATTTCTTCAAGGAACATATAACGCCTGATTTACACGAGACGATTTTTTCGCGCGAAGCGAATTTTTCGCCACGAATTTTTTAGCTGCGAATTTTTCTCTCGAATTCGAAGTTCAATTTACACTGGCGAAATTTTTACGCGAATTCGCTGCGAGTATTACAAAAGATTATAGCGACTGTCCGAAGAGTGCTCTTATCAGCAAGCTTTAAATTTTAAATTATCAAACAGCGAGCAAAACAGCAAAAAGCGATACTGGATTAGAAAAATTTATTCAGGACGTCTTCAGAAGGGGGAATTCCATCTTTCGGTAAGAGAGATTTACGTTTACATTTATAAGACCAGGATAACCTCTTCAAATACTTTCAAAGGTCGCCATCGAAACTTGATGAAACTTTCAAGCCAGTTTTCGTCAATTTGAACTTCAAATGTTTGAATATTAATCTGATATGAATCCACATACATGGATTGTGTACAAGGAACAGGAAACGAATAATTACCAACCTATTTTATTGACGTTTTAGAGGTGAGAGTGTTTGAGAAAAAGAATGCGGAATAACGTAGATCTTCTGAAACCAAAACAGAAGTCAGGTGTCTTCCAAAGCTGTTCTGATTGGTTTATTTTACAAGGCGAAAAATTTCGCAGCGAAAAAGTAGGAATGGTTTAAAATTTTTCACTGCGAATTTTCTAATCTCTACTTCTGCGCATATTATTCGCGCATTGGTGGCGAAAAATTCGCTTCGCAAGAAAAAATTCCTCTCGTGTAAATCAGGCTTAACCAGGGCACCAGGGCTTATAAATATATTTGTATTTACTTTTGATAGCTTACTTTCGAGCTTACTCGGCCATGGTACTCAGAGAATATTACGTGCAAAAATTTTCGTGTGACAATCTTTTGGACAAAGATTTGTCCGAAAAAATATTTGTACAAAATTTAGAATTGTCCGAAAGTTTGTCACACCGAAAATAATTGTAAATTTTCGCATGCGCAAGGTCAATTAACTGAAATAAAATGATATCTGAATATGTATTTTAAATAACAAAACGAAACTAATTTGTCGATAAAACTTTTTGAAACTGTTGTGTTTTAAAAATTATGGAAATATCAGATAAAATCAGATAAAATCAGATAAAATCAGATAAAATCAGATAAAATCAGATAAAATCAGATAGAATCAGATAAAATCAAATCAAATCAAATCAATCAACAAATGACATCCATCGTTCTATTCTTCTATAAAAAGTCACCGCTACTTTCTTCTATATACTTTAAATATGAAAAATATGAACTTTAACAATAAAATTGTTGATTTTACTTTCCCTCGCCATCAATACTAGTTTTAAGTGACTCAAAAATCATAAAGCTCTGAAATAAGCCTTATTATCATCATCTCATAACTTAGAATTGCTACAGTAAAATCTTAAGCAACAATTCTTTTCAAAGAATATAAAAACCTTGCAAAAAGGTGTTGCAAGAAAAAGATTTCTCCAAGTGCTACCTATGAAACATTTTCTAGAAAAAATTGTACCATTGATAGCTAAATAGAAGCTACTGAAAAACACCAAGAACTGAATTGATAATGATTGCTAACAAGCTTTTGTTCAAACTTTGATCACATAATAATGAAAGATACAAGATAAAGAAAACAATCTGCTTTTTCAAAGATTAGAAATAGGTAACTAACATTAATTCTTATTTCATAATTATTGGATACAAAAAAGTATTCACTTGAAGCTCTAAACAGCATGTTTAATCCAATTTACCATCATTTGAATTGCCTTTTGATGTGATCAACTTCTTAAATGATTCCAGGCTGAATGGCCATTCAAACTCATTTGGTATTCTTCCTTTACTACTACTTTCAAAAAACCAAAAGAGGGGAAACCAAATGCGAGTGCGCTTCAATTCAGACCTATTGAAGATCGAGGAACATGCCAATGTGTGATAATAAAGGAATAAACGTGATGATATATAAAAGGCAATCACTACATCGATTGTATAATGCTCATGAGCTGCAAGGATAAAAAATATGGCAAATGCATTTAAAAGCCAACAGAATGTGTGTATAAAATACCAGCGTCTTGGGGTATCTGAAAAAGAAAAAGGTTCTTATCATTTTTTGTTAAATTTATACTATCAATAATCAGTCTTTTGAAAAAGAGTTTCGTTACACAACTATTAAAAAAATTTGATATTTTAAAAACCAGATTTCATTGTACCTTTTCAATTAACAAAGTCAGAGCGGCTAAAGTTGAATCAATCTGCCAATTTATTTAAAAATAAATTCTTGGTTCATTAATCTATGCATTTGTTCATTTATTTTTTCATTCATTCAGTTATTCATTCATTCATTCATTCATTCATTCATTCATTCATTCATTCATTCATTCATTCATTCATTCATTCATTCATTCACTTATTCATTCATTTATCCATCTATTTGATTATTCATTCATTCAATCATTCATTGTTTATCAAAAACAGTTAAAAAAGGTACATGTTTAGGTCTGGATAATATTAAATTTAAATTTACGATAAGATAGAAACTATACAATATTTTTTAAATTGAAGTACAAATAACAAGATGGCATAACATTTAACAAAATCAAATGACTAACAATGTGTTGTAGAAGGCTCTAATTATAAAAGGCAAAGTATAAGACAATAATTCAGAACATTAAGCAAAAACTAAGTACATTTCCATAACTTTCCATAGATAAGAAGTACACCTACATTCTGTTATTAAAAAGTTCAGTAAAGTCACAACCGATGTGTGACCACTAAACATGTAATCCCCACATGTTCTGACTCCACTTAGAGCCATTCCCATTCCAAAGAATATTTCTAAAGCTCTCTTAAAACGGGCTTGGAAGTTTCCATAAACCTAAAATGTAGTAAAATTTTTATTTTATTGACAAACATTAGAAAAAAACCTTGCTTAGCTGATAAAACAATTGTTCATAGATTATACATCAGTAGAACATACATAATCACAGTATGGTTCAAGATTTGACCATGTAACAAAGAGCAAAACTCACAATGATCCGCAAGAAATAAGGTGTTAGCTTTTCTTGATTGAAAGACTTATGTTGGTTGAAAAAACATGATCTAGTTCAATTTTAAAAATTAATTGATATTTGCCAAGGATTCTATCGAGCCCCCCCCCCCCCTTGATCTAATGCTCTTCTTGATTAGGGTTATTGGAAATTCTTTGACTTATTTCTAACTTCTATGTCTCTAAGTAGAATGTGAATCCATTTCTCAGCTTGATTATAATCAAAGCAGAATTGTTCTCAGAATGCATTCTTTGATCTTTATTTGCAAAGCTTGCTTTAAGCCAGATGCAGAGCCTGGCATGGCTCAAAACATTTCATAAGGTCATTTCTGGCAGCCACATTTCCCATCTAGTCATTACAAGCCTGTTTTCCATGTGCAAAACACCCTTTTATTTACACATTATAAGAAACTTGTTTATAAGAAGTTAATACTAGGATGTCCAAAAATTTAAGAAACTTTATTACAAGGCTCATGAAAAATATCAAATATAAGTTTTAAAAAAGTGTCAACAATGAGTAACCAGTTTTATTTAGAGATGGCTCTGAGGACTATATAACTCATGATGATATCGATAATGTATCTAGAGATGATTCTAATATAGATGGTATTGATAAACTTTTTTATCAATAGTTTTTATAAATTCACATTTTGATGTTTTTTTTGGAAAAGATAGCATACTTTGGATTTTGAAATGCATGCCTTTTTTACAAACAGCATAGCATGCTTGGCCATAAAACTCTAAGCAAGAGAGCATTAAACAGCTCTCCTAGTATCTCCTAATAATTTTCAGCTGAGCTGTTTGTAGATAAATATGAAAAGAAACAAAGGAGAAATTAATTTCAAGGAGAGCTATTTAGGATTGCAATCTGTAGCTCTCCTCCAACATTCGAAAAGAGCCTTCCCAATTGGCGCGGCCTGCCTGCAAAGGATAATGTCAATACATGTCAATGACTGTGCAGTCTAGCATAATTAAGACACTTACTGCTGAATTACAATCCAGATGGACTCCTGGCACACTCATTGATGTCACATACATGGTAAATGCCCGCAGAAGGAAGATTGTTCCAGATAAAGCACACATCCTTCGAATAAGGATGAGACGATGCTTGTGGAAAATAAGCACGAGCAACCACATGAGGCCAAGAGCACAAGCACAAACCTCGCACATTTCAAAGGCCCAAGGAATGAATGGGATATTGTCAAGGACTATGTCTGGCAATGGAGGGTATGTTTTCATATCAGGAACGCGGTCGTGTGCTAATGTCATAATAAAGGAGGTAAAAAGAAGGGACGACCAAAGGTAGGCAACACTGATCATCGTTCTTGATATCTCCGACATATCGTCGTCATTGTCGTAAACTTCACCTTTATTGTCCTCTTCATCGTGTGAAAAAGAATCTAGACGATCAAATGATTTCTCTTCCTTTTTATTTCGGTATTTTTTCTTTTTCGAAACAGACGAATACGAGCTTTCACGAGAAGATCTATTCCTGGCAGCTGGATGAGCACTCTTCTGGCAGTTGCTATCATCAGAGCCCACAGAGCAATCTGATGTACTACTCGCAGAATCTAGTGGATTCTTTTCCCGTTTTAGCTCTTCAATAGCTCGGATAAGCCTCTTTACATCTCCTAGAATGCTTATGCAAACAGGTGGTGTTCTTAGATCTTCTTCGGTCAGAGACAGAAGTGCCTTGCCATCAATTTTGTGAAATTTTGATAAAAGCTCGCAGTACTCGCCTAAATCCTGACTCTCTAGCCAGACTGATACACCTTCACATGTCCAATTCTCTACAATCCCAAGGTCTTTCATCTTATAAAGTTCTCTCTTACAAGGTTTTTTTGTTCAAAAACGTCACGGATTTTCTTCTCGTGACCTTTGAATGAAGCTGTAAGTAAAAGTGACCTTTTGATACGATCTCGGATTCATTATGATCTCATTTCCATGCTGAATTACTTTTCTGCAGTTTCGATCTATACGTGACATCATAAGTGGGCAGTAGGTTGAGCCCCTCAACTGCCCTACAACCAAGATGTCAGTTTTGCATAAGTTTTTTAGCTGACATTGAAATAACAGATTGAGCTATGTAAAAGAATTATTTACTTCTTAGCATGATGTACAGATAAATTCTGCACCTTAGAAATGTCCTCCTCTTCTAGCTAGACGAATTTTTCAATAAGAATGTCTCCATTTCCTGGTTTGTGATGCTGCATCTCTGCAACTCTGGTCTTCTGTCTTTTATTTCCAAAGCGGGAAACAAATGTAATTCCCTCATAAAGGTAAGTGCAAGTAATTGAAGGTGAGGACGGCTTTTTATAAGTGATACCGGGTAAATCCTCGAATTATCCCCCGCACCCCTCAAAAAGCCCCCCCCCCATCGAATATACTAATGTACTTATACCGTTATATATGTCTGCTGCTCTTAATTGAATGTTGCTGTTTTCTAAGAGGTAGGCCTTTAAGAAATTCGGCTAATAAGGGACACACGGGTTCCATAATTTTAAGTTAATAGCAATTTGTCTTCACTTTCTGCTGCCCGTTTTTATGTACAAAATAGCTATTCTAAAGAAGTTTTGACATGGAGGAGCAACTGTCCTGTTGCATGCACTAAAAGCGTTTACAGCTCTGCGAACACGGCATCAAGCACTTCATGACAGACCGGTACACAGATAATTTTTATATATATTTTAACAGTTTTTTGGCAGGGCAGAACTTAGAAATGGCTTTGAAAAAAGCAAAAATTTAATAACATATTGGCCTTAGAGCTTTTTCAGAATAAGGCTCCGAAAGAACACGATGAAAAATATATACACAGTTGTGGATCGAAATAGGCCAATCAAAAAAACGCAAGCACGAGACCGATATGGTTGTCCAATCATTCCCGTGTTCCTAAAGAAAAATTACCACTGGAGTCCCTTCTGTCTACACAACGACGGCTTTTTCTTTTGTTTGTACATCGATTCAAAACTGTTAGATAGAAAGATGACCGGGCTCTGCCAATTATTTGAAACACGTCGTCATTATATAGCTTGGCACAATCTGGGTTATCTAAAAGATGTTGACCGATGGCAGAATCATTTGTTCTAATAGTGTTTGTGGACCCACAAGGCCGGAAAGGCTGTTTTCTTTGAGGGACGATTTGTTTCTTATGTTGGAAGGAATATGTTGTTTTATCCTATCCCCCAATCTTTGCGTTGTGCGTCCTACGTAGCCAGAATCACACTGGCACGTAAATTCATAAACAGCGGAACTTTTTTTGGAAAGTAGGAACGCGATTTCTTCTTTAAAAGCTATAAATATATTTATGGATATATATTTAAAATAAATATAATAGCTGGCATTTAGAAAATTAAAGATAATTCTTTCATTTCTTGAGTGACAAAAAAATTCCACAAAATGCATTGCACAACACAAATGTGTGAACAATTTTTAGAATAACGAAATTTGAAAATGGCTTGAAAAAAGCAAATATTTTACAACATACTTAAAGCTCTTTCGTCTGAAAGGCCTCATATCATAAAATGTCAGAATAAGGTTAAAAAAGAACGCGATGGAAAATATGCACCTAGTTGTGGATCGAAATAGGCCAACCAGAAAAATGCGAGCACGTGACTGGTGTCGTTGTCCAATCAGTACCATCCAATGTCGGATTAAGACCATCATTTGCGTAGACTCGAATATAGAGAAGACAACTTAAATAGATATATTTATAAACTACTTTGTAATTTAAAATAGAGAACCATAACGGCCAAGATAATGTTCTCTAAAGTTGAAATTAGATAGCATTGAATAAGGTAACCTTATTGTTATACAATGCTTTAAATAAAATATTAGAAACAAGGAAACAGGGAATTGAATACTTTAAAAGTACAAAAAGTATATCAATATTAAAACTGAGGAAACTAAATTAACTCATAAACAACCTAAAAAGTTTTGTTTTCATGTTCTGAAGCGAATTATAAAAAATTGTTCTGAATTGAATATATGTAACGAGGAATTCTTCTTAACTTGATCACTACCAATATATTTGCAATTCAATAACCGAATTTTTCAGCGAGAACATCTCCAAATCAAGCAAAGAGCAAGCCTTTTTTTCAATGGTTACATTAAGAATTATTCTTCCAATCAATTGAAAAAACTTTCATGAATTTTCAAGCTTTTCAAATTTTCAATAAATTTTGTTCTTTTGATAAAATTAATGATTCGAAAAAAGTCATATTCAGTGATTTAAAACACTCTTTTAAGTCTAAAAAATAAACATTCTATAAGTCGTAAGTCTACATCCGTTAAAATGATAGATGTTAAAACGGCAACTTGCTATAAATACATACTCAAAGAAAGAAATACACACCATCAACGATAAAACGGAGCATTAACCCTCTAGCCATGTTAATGACTAAAAAATACCTACTGCAAATCTCTCGATGGATATACGTAAACTTTAATACCAAGAAAGTACCTTTCATGACGTTTCATAATATCCCATGTCCTTTTATTATCGAATCTAATTCTTTTACTGCATGGGTAAACTGCAATTACATTGAAAAGGGAGGCAGTATTGCGATAAAAAGTGAAAAGACTGGTTTTAGGATTAACTTAGATTATCTAGCTACTTCAAGACTGCATTCTTCAAACTTTACAACATTTTGCATGAAATTGCAGTACTTACAGCAGTTTCTCATTGAAGAATACCAAGAAAGTACCTTTCATGACGTTTCATAATCTCCTTTATCATTCTTATTATCGATTTAATTCTTTCACTCAATGGCTGCATTCTTTAAGCTTAACATAATTCAATATCAAATTAAAGAAAATCAACCATGTTCGATAAAATGTTCAAGTCAATTTACTAAGGCCAAATCAAATTCATCGGAATGACTGTTCTTTAAAAAATCATATATTGCTGAGTAAGCTAACTAAAAATCAATGTATTTTCCATTTTGGCAGTACTTGTAACAGTTTTTTTATGGAAGAACACGTCATATTTGTAAGGGGTTTATTCCTACCAATAATAGGAGTTCATTCAAGCCAAAGTTTAATTGAATTATTTGACGATAATATTTTCTCATATCTATTTTCATATTCTCGTAACGTTTTATAAACAAACATACTACAAGGCGATGTGACAGGGAGCATGGAAATACATAGTTACCCAATGACGATTACATTAAACATAGTTTACGTTACATTACGCATTACATTAAGCAATATTTTATGACAATAATAAGTATCAAAATCTTTCGAAAAAAAACTTTAGTGCAAGCAATATGCCTGCCAATTTAATTAGATTCACCAACCGTCTTCAATTTCTTCATCATATTTGAAATTTTCAAAGTATCTTTGTGATCAGCACCAAGTACTTTACATCTTTTAAGATACAGATCATTTAGTATAATGGCAGCTTCCTCGAATTCTTCGTTGATTTTCATGCACTCAACAATATTTGCCAATGTCGACATACAATGTGGATGTGTATCGTCTAGTTTTGACAACTGCCTTTCGTAGATATCCTTCAGTAGGTTCTGCGCTTCACTGTGTCTCTTTTGCTTGATAAGAACTTCGGCCAACTTATTGCCAGCATGAAGACGCCTTGGATGGTCTTCTCCGTCGGTAATCCTACGCTGCTCATAAAATTTGGCATAGAGCTTCTCTGCCTCTTCATACCGCTCTAAGAGTTGTAATGCATGACCGATACCATAAAGGGCGGTGTAGACATCTCGATATTTGTAGAGTTCAATTCCATCGGTGCAGACAATTTTCGCGTTTTCCAACTGTAGCTTCTTTTCATAAACATCTTGAAATATACTCAAGGCAATCTGAATACAACAAGAACAATTGTGGTTTAATTTCAACTCACATATCGTGGAGGTAAAGCATTTCCTAGCTGAGCCTGATTCGGCAATCATAAAAAGCTGACAGTACACGAGAATGTGTCCTCCTTTTTCTTTAAGATAGATGGCTTTAAAATGTAGGAGACAGTAGATTCTGGTGCCGAGAAGATACACTTCAGCAGAAACGTTTATTTCGTAAAAAATAATGAACGTTAGGCTAGATGGTAACAGCATGAGAAGAATAGATATACCTAATTAACCATTTTCTGATACTGGTAGTAAGAAATCAAGGCTTCTTTTTAAATGTCATATCGGCGCCTAATCGCAATGGACCTTCGTTATAAATCTTGAGCATGGTAATCAGGTCACATTATTGACAAAATAGTGTCAATAGCATCAAGAAGAAAATAACTTGACGCTCGATACGACGGAGAAATACTCAATAAAGTATCAAATCTCTATCTAGTGTATAAAGAATGACAAAGCAAATCTTCCCACATATGCGTGAATCATCGCATAGATAATTGGTTTAAATTATATTTGCATCATTGCAAACAAACACTAACATGTGAACAAATGTATTACTTTGAAGTACACCAGAACTCAATTTGACAGCCTCTCGTTAAAAGCTATTTCTCGCAAGCATTCAAAGCATTTAGATATTATTGCATATATTAGAAAAATTATCGTCAGTCTAAGCCTAACTGAACAAGCACTTTTCAGAAAACAAGATACCTCGGGCTCCTCTAGATCGATATGAAGAAATCCAAGATCGATCTTTGCTGCTAGTGTATCACAATGTAATTCTCCTATTGTTGATGTGTATCTAGTGATCGCTTCGTTGTAGACTGGCAATGCCTCTCTATGTTTCCCAATGCAATGTAGTGATCTTACATGTTGGAAAAATATGATACATTAACGTAATATATTCATATTGAATTAAAAGATACTGAAAAAGTTTGAAATTTTGTTACAGTAATCTTTTTAGTTCTAAACATTTTTTAAAAAAGGTCAAAGAAGAACAAAAATATATTACTCCTTCGACTTTCGTGTATACATTTCTCTTCAACAACTTTAGAATAGAACACGATGTCTCCAATTAAATATCTACAACCCTTGACAACATGATATTTTTTTTACATTATTAGATATAGTTTGATAAAGTTCTATATGATAAAGTTCCATTCAAAAAGGCTAAAATTTAACATATAGCTGAATTCACTCAAACTGCATCGAAGTTTGGCATTGAGCAAATTCAAAAACAATAGCATACCGGGCTTTATTGAAAACCAGGGCCAGAGTTGCATGATGACCGGGGCCTAAATTCTCCTCCAAATAAAAATATTCCTCGCATACATAGTCAAGACTCTCAAAATATCTGCCTTGATATAGAAGTGCATCAGAAACCTTTACAGGTAAAAAACAAAATTTATTTCTCAGTGGCTCTTTTTCCCTCCCGTGCCTCCATAACTGCATAGCATGATATTTGTAAAGTTTATCATTCTTATAATTGCTATATCCACCAAGTACCAACTCCTGTATCAAACGTAATGAATTCTCGATGTTTTTCTCTACATCAGTAGATTCAAGTGTTAGCTGAATCACTTTCTGGACCTATTAGAGAGAAACAAAATATGCATTTGAAGCAAGGAATTAGCAAGCAACTAAAGAGTTAGTTAGTAAAGCAGCTTTCCATTGAAACGATGAGATTACACAAGGAGAATGGCCGTGTGAAAAGCAAGACTTGATACGTTTGAATAGGTTTTCACAGAACAGGCACTACTCGTTATCTGCGAGAAAATATATCCTCCAGCAAAAGAATAATCAGACTTTACACCGAAAAATGTCTGATCACCAATTTTTTGAAGAAAACGTTGCAACGACCACATCTATATTTTAAAAAATGTCATGTAAATTACAAATACTACTATCAATAAAGGCAATTACAAATACTACGAAGCATTGATCCAGTCTTCATCTAAACAATATGCCTCTAGGTCTTGGCGTAGGAAACAAAAGGGCTTGGCGAGCTGCAGCCCCTCTCCCCCAATCAAGCGAAATCTATCGCATTTCAGGCTCCACATGGGCATTTATATCTCTATGTAGCAGTAATATTCAGGCAAGTTCCATACTAAGCCCCCTTAAATGTTTTGGATCTGTTAGATATCGGAATTTTCGTGAGCAGAAAATGAGGTTAATCCACATAAACATTTTGAATCATCTCTTGCAAATAAGGTTTTGCTTTTTTTACATAGCTGCAACATTATTCAGAAAGCTGTCCTCCATTCTTTCGCAAAATATGCAAAGGTTGCACATTTGGGGAAGAAATGACGTCATATCAACTAATTTTCTTTTATGAAAATGGGTCGCCTGGGCCTTTTTAACAACAAGCAAATGACGTTTAACGGCCGAAGTGAGTGTCAGAAACTAGAACATCACTCAAAATTTCTTATACACAAATTTTCAATCTCCTTAAACAAAACAATAAATACCTGATAACCGTAACTGCTACATGGAAGACAGAATTATAATCCATCATAACATATTGTGCAAGAAAGCCTTAGTTGAAGACAAAAAACATCTCCTATGCAAAAAATGCTGAATATCTTTAGCACTATTCATCAGTAACGTTCTAATAACGAACAATCATAGCGATGACGATATTCAAGTATGAGAAAGAAGGTAACAAAAAAAACGTTACATTTCTACTTTACTCAAGATAAAAGAATGCATATATCAGTCACTATAATTCACTTACAAGACGATGAATGTGAAAGAGTGTTTGAACTTCCTCGCTGCCCTTTTCCTGCCTCGTAGATGATTTTATCAATGAATATTGCAGCAAGACATCAAAGCTGTCCCATAGCAAATCTTTATCACCAGAAGTCAACTCTAAAAACATATCAAAAGGAATATCGTCTGCATGTAGGTAGGCCATAATGCCAATCAAACGCGAAGCGAGTGAGCTGGATTCGCCTTCTCTAATCTTATCAAAGGACATCTCCCAAGTCACAAGTACAGTTTTTGTGTAGTCGCTGCCTTGGATTTTGAAACCAAGAACATCTTTTGTCTTTGCTTGGAAGGCTTTGATATAATCATGAACAGTAAATCTTCTCCGCTTGTTGAACTTTTTAATGTATGCTACAGCTTGTTGAAGAGCTAGTGGCAAACTCTGCAACTCCCCTGCAAGCTGTTTAGCTTCTTCAGTGGTAATTTCAATCACAGTTTGGAGGGAACTCATTACCATAGAAACAGCCTCATACTCTTCAAGCACATCCAGCATAAGTTTGCCTGCGTCATTTCCCCATTCTTGATTACGCGACGTTATTAAGATACAAGGCTTCATTTCTATTGGACTGACTTGAGGAAGAAATGGACGTATATCTTCTAAAGTTTCTGCATTGTCAAAAATAAATAAAGCTTTTCTTTTTTTAAAATAATCATATACGTTTGCCACTGTGACAGATAAAGATTGACCGCTAACCTTAAACCCTAGATATTGAGCTAAGTTTACGAATGAGTTTGACAGTGACATTTGATCATCCGATGTTATCCATATCACATTGTTTGCGAAATAATTTGGTCCTCTCAAATGCGAATACATCTTTACTAGCTCAGTTTTTCCAATTCCACCTAATCCGACAATAACCACAAATGGCTGTAATGAAACAGTATTGTTGTTGCAACCATCTTTGGTCAACATTTTATGCAACAATTCTATTTCTCTTGTTCTTCCTGAGAAAGAGGAAACAGGACTTTGCACTTTCCACCAGATGTTTCGTGGTGCATCAATACTTTCTGAAAAGAAAACAACTACAGTAAAGAGATAAACCTTTCATAAAACATCCGCATCCCTTGCCTTGGCTTCACCCTTTTGGGAATTGCTTCCACCAAAAGGAATATATTCCCCTACCCCCCCCCCCCTTGTTGAAACCCTAGATCCGGCCCTTCATCATAGACTTTGCACTTTCCACCAAATGCTGTGGTGCATCAATACTTTCTGAAAAGAAAAAAACTACAGTAAAGAAATAAGCCTGCATCCCCCGCTTTGGCTTCATCCTCTTGGGAATTGCTTCCACCGTAAGGAATATATTCCCCCAACCCCCCCTTGCTGAAACCTTAGATCCGGCCCTTCATAACACTCTACTTTCCCCATCTAGAAGCTCTTGCTGATATCAGAAAAACAGTGATAAAAACATACACAAAACAAAGTGAATAACAACAACTAAAAATAAAAATGAGATTTTTTGTAATAAAAGTGGTTTACAAAAGACACTTTCTGTGTGCACTATCACAACAACCAAGGACTTTAAACACTATAGCAAGTTTGATTCTTGAGCACAAAATATCACTTAGCTACCTCTAGTTGATTTATGCCTGTTTAAGATTTTTATTCACCTCAGATGAAAAAATTAAGCTGCACTTCTAGTCTAACTTTAAATTAACTTATTTCCTTGCCCAAACACTAGAAAGTGATGTATCCTTAGTTCACCAACGTTTCCAATTGATGGACGAAAACTAATAGCACCCTTTTTGCAATTGGAATTATCATGAAATTACACAGTACCCCTACACAGTGACATTTTTAGGTGGGATACAAGGGGGGCTATGGCCAAAGGCCCCATCATTTTGAAAACCAGGAAGGGCCCTGCACATAAACAAAATAATAAAAATTGTAAAAAAAAAATATCCCGTAGATGTCTTGGGTACAGGCCCCATTGTTATCTGAAAGATTCACAAAAGGACTCAATTGATGATCACGATTAAACTTAACACATCAGAAGGGTAAGGATGGTGTCACATGGCCCTGATCATGTCTGGGCAGGGTTTCGTAGATTCTTGAAGCTGAGTCCAATTGGCAGAAAATAGCCAAATAACAAGGAAATGTTTAGAATAGTTTTCATGGATATCAAATATTTTCAAATAAGTTAATGTGTTAAATCAAAACATAAAGTACCATGTATTTTAAAAAAACCATGTAAGAGTTTGCAATTTATGGTAAATTTGACATTCTGATAACCTGAAATTAGCAAAAATTGGTGGGTTTTTCATTTGTAGTTTTCTCATCTGACGACAGCTTTCTCATCTGATGGTTGCATTAGACAAGAAAAAGGTTTTGGAATAATTATGATATACACACTTAGATGTGCATAGGTCTGGCAATATGGCATCACACACTCTGAAACAGATTAGTAATGCAATCATTAATAAATTTACCACTGTTTCAGATTTATTCTTGTAGCCTATAGATTATTCAAAGAAATCTATGGCAAATTTACTTGTTTCAAAAGACTTCAAGAGTAATTTTTGGCAGTTTTCAGTAAACATTTCAAATTGGAGAGTAATTTGTCTGTTATAAAGAAATTTAAAACCTTGGTATAGTCAATTTCCTCATTAGCAGCATCCAAACATTTGGAGCGAACTTTTGAAGCATAAAGACAAGCTCATTACAACTGAATGCGTTTAGAAAATACCTTACAAAACTATCTAATAAATCAATTCAGAAAGTGATAATGTTTTTGGATTTTATTCTCTGACCAGTGTTAGACAAATTTTGAAAAATGTATTAAATATGTTGAATGTGTGTTAAAAAGGTTGCTTTTCAATACAACTATTAAACTATGTACTGGCAAGAAAATGCTTGAGTTTACCTTGCTTGATGATAATTTTTGCATTATTGCCAATTGCTACAGCACCATTGCGTATATCTATGTTGGCCAGAGCATTTTCTGCTATTTGAATTGTTGAAAACTTCTCCAGAACGATATTTTCACCATCATCTGTTGTGAAAATATGTAAACAAATCCAGATGATGTAAACAAAAAGAAGTAGAAACGGACAATTTGAAAAATCAATATGGAATATTATCATACATGGAAAATATGAATATTGATTGTCATCAGCACCATAGATGGACTATGCATCTTAAAGTAAGCTATTGCTCCAATATCCAATCAACAATGCAAGAAAATTTCTCAAAAATCAAAATTAATCACAAAATTGTTTACTTGAAGGGTTGACTGATGGGACATAATGCCTTCAATTATCTCATTTGTTTCTATTAACAGATCAAACACACAACTGTGTAGCATTTGCAAACCTAATAATCAAAACTCCAACATAACTGATAACTTTCGATAACCAAATAATGTTGCTTCATCCTCATCATGAAAATCTAAATTGTAAAGCCTGCCAGGAGATGAGGTCAAGGGAAACAGATGGCTTAAAGGAATCTCCTGCAGTGGCAAATTGTCCCCAGTATTGATATTTGATGTTGAGTGTTTGAAAACATGGGTTACATTACACTCTTCTTTTAAAAGAACAATTTATAAGAACATGAGCCTCAAATTTGTTCAAAAGTTAAGAACAAAGCAAGAACAAGCCAAGGCTGACTTACTGTAAAATGACATATTGAGCAACGTTTTATCTAAAAAATGAGGATTTTTAGCCATGTGTGGGTGATTTTCCAGGGAATATTCAAATCTGTCAACAAATAAAGGTTGTCTCGCGCATTTAGTTGGCAAAGGAGGCCTAAAAACCTTCCTAGCTAGCAGCTGTACTGCGTATCAATTTAAAAACAAATTAAGAACAATCCAGCCTCAGATTTTCAAAAAAATTAACAGCAGACAGCCTGAACTTAAGTTTGTGTACGTTTGAAATCGAATCTAATTTCCATACATCTCCAGTCCAGTATTAATCAACTGCTATCAAAAATTTCAATCCTTGCACCTTATTAACTTATTATGTTATCATCGATTAATCTATCCAGACTATAAGTATCAAATCATGAAAATTATAAACATGCTGGAAACTTCTAGGCTTGGATTTGTGTTTTATTGAAAGAAATGTAGCTTGCCTTCCTTGATGCTTCTTTCGGCCATGTCTTCATGTGATTTCAGCTTTGAAAATCTATCCCATTTAGTGACGTCGTCGCAGATCTCAGTGTTCCAATCCCGGGGGATACTTCCATTATAGCCTAACAGGATCCTCCAGCCAGGGTCAAAGAGGGTCAACGCTAGAATTTTAGAAAAAATACCCTCAAATGATAGTATTTTTTGACAATAACCCTCAAATGGTGGCATAAAAACCGAAATTATGTCCTTGGTAGCATCCATTTCTTTATGCCGCCTGGTTTTTTTTGACAAATTTTTTTGCAATTGACTGTTGTTGTTTCGGGAAAGATAAAATCTTGTTCATTATCTATAATAAATCGCAAGTTAAACTGAGCAGTTAAGTTATTATCGAAAACGGACCATTTTTTGGTAGCCATTTGGTAGCCATTTGGTATGTAACACTCTCAAGCACACTGGACCCCCCTGTCAGGCCTTAATGGGAAATCAGCCTCCTTTTCAGGCAGTTTTGTTTCCAGGAAAAACCTGAACATGACCCAGACCCTTCGTAGTTCCCATCCATAGAAATAGTAGCGCTAGAATGCGTGGTCTATCACGTGACGCGTGCGAACTATGGGGAACCAAAATGGTAGCAACAAGTTGGCAAAAAAATACGCGGGAAATCACAGCGGACAGTATAGCCTACCCCTATCACCGTATACGCGCTTGAATTTCTAATTAATCTAATACACTGTTGCTAACATTGAATGATAATTGAACTTTGATAAAAAAAATGGTAGTGTCGTGTGCTGCTTTCGGCTGCCAGAATCGATGGATTCCTAAAAAAGACTTGCTTCCCGGTCAAACAAACACAAGTAAGTAGGCCCGTTGTGTGTACTGTGTGTCTCGTTATTCTTGATAGGATTTTGAATAGAATAAAATATCTTCCAAAAATTCTATGATACTTTTATTAAGTATTCGAAATGATTTTCATTAATGATATTTCTACTATGTTCACAAACAGACAGTAGGTACATAAAATCGGGAGGGCAGTGAACCAAATTAAAAGTCATCTTATGGTTCGTGGCATTAATTCTTCAAAGAGGGTGCAAAAGGTGAATTTACTCGGATGCCGAAGATAAATTTTCCTACAATTTCTTACATTGTAGCAAAATTTCCTAACAATCTTTCGTGGAAAGGGGCATGTATTTCAGTAAATACATACTTAAATATGCGGAACCATATATCTCTTTATTTAATGAGTTTATGTGGAAATGCATAGATAGGTTAAATTTCCATTCCTATTCTGTCTTTTTATACAGGATTATAATAAGCAGGGGTGGGTGGGGTTGGGGGGTTGCGAAAAACTACTGACCTGAAGAAATACCACGGTATGTCCCTATTGGGTACTTTTTAACAAATAACCTAAATGCAAAAATATTGAAACAGCTCATAAGTGAAGCAATTAACCTCCTTGCTGAGAGAGGAGCTAAAGTTCATGCAGTCATCTTTGATGGTGCTCTTAAGAATGTTAGCATGGCTGAGAAACTTGGATGTGATATAAAAAACCTTTGCACATAATTTCCACATCCGTCAAACCCCAATGAAAAGATCTTTGTAATTCTTGATATCTGCCACATGCTGAAGCTTGCAAGAAATGTCTTTTCCACCATCAAGATCGTTTGTACCCCAGGAGGACAAAGAATATCTTGGGAGTATGTTCTTGCACTCTATAAAACACAAAAAATGACATACTAAATCTTGCAAATAAACTTAAGACAAAGCATATTCAGTGGCAGAATCACAAAATAAAGGTCAGTGTTGCAGCACAGACTTAAAGCCATTCTGTGGCATCTGCAATAACTTTTTTGAGAAATCTGGGGTTGAAAGAATTTAAGGACAGCAAAGCAACCAGCGACTTCATCCTTCTGATGAACAATATCTTTGATATGCTTAACTCAAAAAGCGAATTTGGAAAGCATACAAAGAGACCTGAAAACAACAACGCTGTTTACATATATTAATTTGATCTGGAAAAAGTTGATTCAAAACTTCGAAATTTTATCAGAGACCTAACGGCTGGGATTTGATTTCAAGGTAATTTAAGCAAATTTGTTCCAAGTATTGAATGCATCAAGTTTCAACAAGACTTTCTAGACACTGAATCACGCTGTTGTTGACACTTTTGTTTACCAGTAACTTCCGCGTTTCTGCTAGGCCAAAAACTTGAGGAATTTATTAAGTACTACTCAAAAATAATATCGCATGTACCCATTTATAATGGTTAAAGGTTGTCTAATAATAATGAACTTGAATGAATAAAGCCATAATTAATTACTAAGCTGCCCTAGAAAAGGAAATTTGGAAAAGAAAGGAGTCCAAACAAAATACGAAGAAAAACCGTAAAACGACTCGCTGTGACGTAAGGAAAAAGTCAAAACGTCTCTTACCTTCTTCTATTTTGGCACTGGAAAGGTTTCATGAAATTTTTCTCCTCATATCACCACGCAGAATCGGTAAGTCCATAACTTCTTATTTGTGTACAACGTACGCCACAAAAGCTTTTTGCCAACATGTTGCTACCATCTTTGCTGCCCATTGGTATTACGCAGAAAACAATAGGCGAACAATAGAGCGCGCATTCTAGCTCTACTATTTCTATGTTCCCATCATAATCTCTCTCTTATGACTATGTTCCCATTGAACAAGTTCCTATAATTGCGCACATTCTGAGAACATATTAGCAAAAAAATCGAAAATGTCGGGATTCTTTCGTAATGGAAGTGTTCCCTTGAAATCAAACTGAACGTGATATTGAAATAGCAAGGAAAATCCTTTTTGAAAAATGTTGATGTAAATGGACAAAAGCTGTTAGCCAGGGCCATAAATCCCGGGGGGACGGGGGGGACTGGACCCCCAAAGAATCATTAGAAAAACGATTTTTTTGAGAAACTATCGACATTTTCTTTTAAGGGCAGGCTTACCTCAGATTTTGATGAAAAGTGTAAATTTTTATGAAATCTCAAAGTGAAAGGATTTACATATTTTAAAATATCTTCTTTCCGACGGTCAATTTAGATTTCACCTATCTTCCCAGGAAGTTACTTATATTTCAATTTGAAAAACATGTCCTTCAGTAAAAAGCTCAAATTCTGTGCAAAAACTGTGAAAAATGAATGGTTTATGCTTTTCCAGGCGTCATCCTAACCCCTTCAACCCAGACACCGATCGAATCGTTACATTTTTATCTTTTCAACAAGCCTACCATCTTTATTGAGTCTCCTATTAAAAAAGAGAGAATCTAGGTTTTCCATTGGTCGAAATGATGCAAAATGTCCGATATTCAAATTTGATTGGCTAAAACTGGTCACATGATTTGAAATCTATTGTTCAAACATGGCGTCTCGCTCACAAACAAACGTTGAAAACTGTTGTGTGGTGTGAAATTACTTTGCCTACCTTCGCATTTCGCTGTGAATGTGCTTCACTATTCATATTCTTACTTGTATTGGCTTTACGAAATTATAAACTGTATCTCGAACTGACATATCCACACTTCCTGGGAAGAAATCGCAAGTTAGGCCCGTTTGTTTACTCGTTTTGGCCAAGTGCAAGAACGTTGGTGTCATTCGAACTCTCTTTTCATCAGACTCGATCGTATTTGTTTTAGATTTTAGCTGACACTACCTGATTTATAAACATGGGTAGACCACGGAAAAACGCAAGAAAGTTTCATGGAAATCGATTCACTCGTAAGACCAGTGTTGTCTCATCGCAGTCAATTTCAGAGAGTCACGGAGAAGCAACGGCATCTTCTTCTAAGGTCACTCTTTTGTCGTCCGATAATTTTGATCCTGGACTTTCTGGCAACAGAATCATGAGTGTTATGAACATTCTAAATTTCTTGGAACAACTAGCTTGTAGCACTTGCTTAGAAAAGATGGTCTTTGCCGAAGAAAAATTGGTTGGACAAGCGTCCACTCTTTATTTTTTATGTGGATGTAATTCAAGGTTAGCCCTCAAATCCTCAGATCTGTGCACAACATCCAAGCATTACCAGGTCAATGACAGGCTACAGGTTTCAATGTATGAAATTGGATGCCACTTTGAAGCTGCCAGAAATTTCTGTGGAAATATGGACCTTCCACCACCAGTTTCGAGCAAATCTTGGAATCAAAACAAGAAAAGGATCCATGAAGCATTCAAGCAAGAGTCTTCCAAGAGCAAAAACAAGGCTGCTTCAGAGATCAAGGATGCCAAAGGGGATGATGTTACTGTCTCTTGTGATGGAACGTGGCAAAAGCGTGGATTTTCCAGCAAGAATGGTGTAGTGACAGTTGCAACAGTCAATGGACTCAGTTCTAAAATAATTGATACTGAGACCTTGACAAACCATTGCAATAAATGCAAAGCAGCAACAAATGGCAATGAAACTACACATACTTGCCAGAAAAATTATGAAGGAACTGCTGGGTCGATGGAAGGTGAAGGTGTGAAAAGAATTTTCAGGCGATCACAAGAACAGTATGGTCTATCATATGTTGGATACTTGGGAGATGGTGACTCAAAGAGTTTCAAAAATCTAAGTGAGGCAGAGCCACCCATCTACTCAGGAAAACAAATTGAAAAACTTGAATGTGTTGGACACATTCAGAAGAGAATGGGGAGAAAGCTGAACAATTTAGTTTTTCAATGTAAGAAAATGTTTTATACAGACAGCAATGGAAAAAGAATAAAAGGAATTGGAGGGAAAAACAAATTGACCAAAAAGGATATTTATAGAATTCAAGGTCATTATGGGGCTGCTATAAGGAAACATGTTGGTGATGAAAATGGAATGAGAAAGGCAATTTGGGCTATTTTTCACCACCGGTCAGGAGACCATTCAATGTGTGGACAGTGGTGTCCTTCACTATGCGGCAACCTTGAAAAGGCTAATGCCAGATTGCTTCCAGATTTTGTGATAAATGAAATGAGGCCTGTATTTGAGAGCCTAACTGCTACAGAGCTTCTTTCAAGGTGCACACATGGAGGGACTCAAAATGTCAATGAGTCATTCCATAACATTATCTGGTCCCTGTGCCCAAAAGAAATTTTTGTTGGCTGGCGACGCCTTGATATAGCAGTTTCTTCTGCTACATTGCAATACAATGAGGGAAAAGCCAGTAAGCTTGCTGTGTATGCTAACCTTGGCTTGTTCCATTCAAAATATCACCAGCAATATGCTAGCATGATGGACAAGAAAAGAATTAAAAGCTCTTATGTAACCGAAGGACATAAAGCAAAAAGGCGGAGAAATCAAGAGGCAGCTAGCTTGTCAAAACCATCCAGTCAATATGGCCCTGGAATTTGTGAAATCACTGAATAACTGTAATTGTCTGTTTGTAGATACTTTAGCTCAAGACCCTCTAGCATTAAATACTTTAAATACCATTTTCCTGTAAGGGTGTAA